GCATAGCTTCATTGGGGCCTCCATATATCCAAACTAGCAAGCAGACTAAACTCTGCAGCTTATGCTGTAAAAAAGATTAGAGATCTCACTAGTTTCGAGACAGCTAGATTAGTTTATTTCAGTTATTTCCATTGCATAATGTCTTATGGGATTTTGCTATGGATAAATGCCGCTGATTTAGAAACTATTTTTGTTTTGCAGTAGAGGGTCATAAGAGCTATTTACAACCTTAAACCGAGGGAGTCTCTTAGAGAAAATTTTAAAGAAATAAATATACCTATTAACTTACAGCTTACACCTTTCTAAAAGGCCGGCAACGCATCTGCAATTCCCCTGGTGTTGCGGTTGTTCATGGGCGGCGGTAGTCACTTAACATCAGGTGAGCCGCATGCTCGTTTGCCCCCTATTCTATAAAAAAAAAAAAAAAAAAAAAACTTAGGCCTCAGTATATTTAGGAAAATTTTATGAATGTTCATGAAACAAAGATAGTTTTAGTAAGAAAAGTAATATACACTCTGTAAACACTAGGAACGAACACAAGCTAGTGATACCAGGCTCTGGACTCCACAGAGTTAGTAATTCATTCTTGGGGCAATGTATTCGCTATTATGTGGTCGCTTCCAAGCTGTTTCTAAAATAAATTTTGTAAATAGTTTGTAATCATTTATATTTTAAAATTTATTTAAAAAAAGTCCCGCTGGGTTTCTTGCTGGGTCTTCCCAGGATAGAGGGTTTTTTCCGAACCAGTGGTAAAGTAAAAAAAATGACTTTCAATAAGAATTACTTGCAATCAATATTGAATAAAAAATTATTCTATTCTATTCTATTCTATTCTATACAAGTCTGACATAATCCCTTCTTGCCCCCGCAATGCGTAGGCATTTTCTCATTTGAAACTTGGAACAAAATCCATTCTGTAGTTACGAATAAAAACGTAGATAGATCAACGCAGCGTCGATTCTTATTTTACATGAGGTATAAAGATTGCGTCTAAAGCCTATGTATTAATTGATACATTTATTTATTGTATGGCATTATATTAATATGATACATAAATAGAATGGACGTTACGGGTAGGCCTGGGTATAGAATTCTTATTGACATATTTTTTTCACACTGATTTATCTCTATTATTATTTCAGTGGACGTTCACTTCTGCTGTCACCGCATAAATGGTGAAAATCAAATCGCCTCATTATGTCACGGTGTATAGCCAGTCCATCTATAGAGGTCAGTGAAGTCAAGATCACTTGGAGTATTTTTAGTGTCACTAGAGCCAAAGAAGATTTTTACAGTCCTACTCACCGCGGTATCGTGCCAAGAACGCTGGCTGCGTTTCCCCGCTACGTGGCTATACTTAGACTTTGAGCGAAAAAGAAACCAGCCCTCTTATCACCAGCAGCAACGACCAGCCGCGGATGAAGTTCTTTGGGAACTTCACCGCACGTGGACCCCACGGACCGACAGTCTCTACAGCAAATGGCACAAATATGTAGTCATCTCTCAGATACTCATATTTGCGCCACTTACTCAATTCTGCCTCTGATACCGCCCCGGCTCTAAGCCCCTTAGGTGAGAGGCCACCAGAGTATCTACACAAATAGCATCTCACTTTATCTGTCTGGCAAGGGACCAATATCATACCGTCGGGTCTCCTACCATCGTCTCTAAATATTCCACAAGGCTCTAAAACCGAGGGAACATTTATAGAGACAAGAGCCCTTCGGATGACATCGTTCAAAGAACCCTGCCATGAACCTACCAGCACTTTTCTTACATGAAAGTCCGTGGAGACCAAACTTGTCGACGCTGCTACCACAGGGGCACTGAAGGGGTTGACAAATCGCCGCTCCCTATGTAGTCGGATTCCTACGGCGATGCGCAAGCTTTCCCCATCAAGTAATACAATTTACCAACGTGGTTTAAAAATTGATGAAATTTTGTTTTTAAAACAGGTTGAATACTTTCGAAAAACAACGGGACACCAAGCAGGTACAGTGATTCCGTACTGACAGTTTTTATTCTTGGAGAAATATGATTGAAATTTTGAATTAAAGTGTATCTGTGAGAAGTAGATAAATTATTGGAAAGAAATATTTCACATTTATTGCTATTTGGTTCAAGACCAATATTTTTAAAAATTAAAAAAATATGAGTAAGATCACTGAAGACGTCATCTGCTCTACCTCCCAGTGTACCATCGTCCAGATACCAGACATTCAGCTTGGATTTCTTGAAATAATAAGTTGTATTCCCAAACTGAAAAGTGCTGGACCTAATAGGATGCGTTAAAACCACCGCCACCATTGAGACCAAATCATTTCAGGCTTAAATGATGCCAAATTAACAGAAATATTGCTCAAGGAATCGACCTTAACATTGGATAGCTGCATGAAAATATGTAAAGTAGCTGAGAGTGCTGTAAAACAGGTACAAGTCATGACAGAAAAGACAGTTGAAGCGGTTACAAGAAGGCAAGAATCTCGAAGCAGAATGCCTAATAAGAATAAAATCAATTTTCATAGTAAACAATAGCCAGGTAAGAGTGCAGAAGGATCAGTAAGGTTGAAGAATAATAAATGTAAAAGATGCGGAGGAGTGCATTCTCATTGATCCTGCCCAGCCTTTGGAAGGAGATGTGCTAAGTGTAATCGATATGGAAATTACATGCAGATGTGCAGAACAGTGGGTGCTGTGTGTGTCAGTGATGATGATAGTGATGACTCATTAGTAGTGGGGTCGGTAACTGTGGGCCAGGTTCATACAGAGTACTGGATCGTTGAGGCAAAAGTGAGAGGACAGAAGATGAAGTTCAAAGTGGATACAGGATCGCAGGTTAATATTTTAACTAGAACTATAGTGAAAAAACTAGACTTAAAAATGACTGAAACTTGTACAAAATTAAAAAACTTTGATGGCTCAACTATAGAAACAGTAGGTATGACTAAAACTAGAGTGAAATTCAATAAACAAAAGTATGTACTTGACTTTTATGTGGTAAAATTTAAACTACTAATGTGCTGAGCTACAAAGCTGCCGTGCAGTTGGGTTTAATAAATAAAGTTGAAAATATTTCAAAGGAATGTGTAGCTCAGGACATTGGTGAATACAAAGATTTGTTTCATGGTTTAGGAAAATTGAACTATGTATACAAAATTAAATTAACAGACAATTGTGCACCTGTAGTGGAGCCACCAAGAAAAATTCCTTTTAAATAAGTGGATAAAGTCAAAAATGAGCTTGATAGATTGGAGCAACTTGATGTAATAAGGAAATTTCAAGAACCAACTGAGTGGGTTAATTCTATGGTGGTTGTTAAAATAAGTCAAGATAAAATTAGATTGTGTTTAGATCCACAAAATGTAAACAAATGTATCATAAGAGAACGTCATAAAATACCTACCTTTGAGGAACTTACATCAGCCATGCCTGATGCCAAATATTACTCAGTGTTAGATGCAAACAAAGGATTCTATCAGATATTGTTAGCAGAAGAAAGTCAACTGCTAACAACATTCAATGCAGGTCAATTTGGAAGATATTGTTTTAATCGGTTACCATTTAGCCTGAATTCTGCCCCTGAAGTATTTACTAAGTGTTATGCAGAAATTTTTAATGATATACAGGCTGTAGTGACTTATGTTGATGAAATATTGGTATGGGGAGATACGAAAAAAACACATGATGAAAGATTACTCCAAGTTTTAGAAAAGGCTCGGCAGGCTGGTGTCAAGTTCAATAAAGAGAAATGTGTCATAGGTGTGAAGGAAGTTAAATATGTGGGTCATATCCTATCTAGTGAGGGCCTTAAGCCAGACCCGGAAAAAGTGCGAGCTATTGTGGACATGAAAGAGCCAACAACAAAAAAGGAATTACAAACTATCTTAGGTATCATAACATACATATCTAAATTTATACCAAATACATCAGAATTGACTAACTCACTAAGACAGTTGCTAAATAAAACGTAGAGTACATTTGAGGTGACAAACAAAAAGAGGATTTTAAAAAAATAAAACAATTTCTCAGTAGTGCAACAGTGCTCAGATACTTTAATGTCAACAAACCAGTGACTCTTTCAGTCGACAGTAGCTCCACAGGGTTAGGAGCTGTACTCCTGCAGGATAATATACCAGTTGCTTATGGGTCAAAGACCTTGACAGAGTGCCAAAAGTCATGGACACAAATTGAAAAAGAAATGTTGGCAATAGTATATTGATGTGAAAAGTTTCATCAATATATTTATAATAAACATGTAATAGTTAAATCTGATCATAAGCCTTTATAATACATATTTAAAAAACAATCAATGAAACTCCACTAAGACTACAAAGGCTTAGATTGAGAATTCAAGGGTATGACCTGGAAATAAGATATAAACCGAGAAAAGAATTATTTGTAGCTGACGCTTTGTCTCTGAATAGTTTACCAGACAAAATATGTAATAAAGATGTGAATCAGCATGTAGAGAATTGCATGTTTGCTTGATAACGGAAGGATTAAAAATCACAGAACAAAAGTTAGAAGATTTAAAAAAAACTGCAAATGATGAAGAATGTCAAAAAATTATAAAAAATATTGAAATGGGATGGCCAGATAAAATAAAATTACCAACAGCTTCAAAATATTATCACTCTATAAAAGAGTATTTGTATTATGCAAATGGTTTAATATTTAAAAATAATGCGGTTTTTGTACCAAAGTCACAGAGGTAAGAAATATTAAACTTAATTCACTACAACCACCTAGGGTTAGAACAATGCAAAAATAAGATAAGAGGAGTGTTATATTGGCCATTTATGAATAAAGAGCTGGAAGATCACATCAGCAATTGTGAAGCATGTCTGAAATATCAAAAATCTCATTCATTTGAACCCCTAATTCTAAGGGACATACCGAAACAACCCTGGGATATAATAGGAGCTGATATGTTCTTCTATAAAAATAATATATACTTAATGGTTGTAGATTATCTAACTAAATATGTGGCAATTATAAATATGGTGGATCAATCCACACAAAGTCACATATTAGCATTAAAGCAGGTGTTTTCGAGATGGGGTATTCCAACAAAGCTATGTACAGATGATGCATCACAGTTTAATAGTTACGAATTTCAAGAATTTGTGAAAGAATGGGGTTTTCAGTTAGTTAAATCTAGTCCATATTAGGCGAGGTCCAACGGTATGGTTGAACGGCACATTCAAAGTGTTAAAAAAATGTTTAAAATATGTGATGTTGATCAGAAAGATATTTATATGGCCTTGATGGAATATCGCAACACTCATATAGATTCAGAAATTAACTTGTCTCCTAATGAGTTACTCTTAGGAAGACAAACAATAACTTTGTTACCTACCAGATCTTCTTTGCCAGGTAAAAATAAATTAAAGGAAGTTAGGAATAGTTTGCAGAAAAAACAAATTAAATACAAATATTATCATGATATAAAAAATAATCAAAAAGGAATTGAGTTTACAAAGGGTCAAAATGTGTTTATAAGGGATAGTAAAAATAAAAATCTTATGGGGAAAATAATACAAGAAAAAAAACATAGAGCATACAATATTCTGACGGAACAAGGACAAGTGATTAAAAGAAATAGATACAATATTTACAAAGGCTCTTCTAATAGACAAAGAGACTATAATAGTTGTACACGCCCCTAGCTGCCCCAACAAAGGTTGACGGGACTAGGGCCCATGAGTAATCCCATGGACGGGCAGCAGAGGGACGGGGCCACGTGGCCACATGGAATTTCCTATCACAATAAACTATATGGGAGAAAGCTAGAAACACATAGTACTTACCATTATCCGAAGCTAACTTCGCACCAAGGCTTGGGCAGGCCGTGAGTGTGTGTAATAGTGGATGGCGAGTAGTGTACAGTGAGGTGTGAATGTGTGGGGCCTTGGCAAGCATAGGCGACCAGCAGCGGCCGAGTTCCAGGCTGCTCCAAAATGCTGCATCGCTTCAGACTGCTTCGGCGCCGGACCACTTCTTTCTTCACTGTCACTGATTCAGTCTCTTAGCTTCATTGTACATTTAACTAACTTCAATTCGCCTAATTCCACACTCATCGCAGAATCGAACACGTGATATCTGCCACGGCAAGGACAGTAGAACAAAATTCGACATTGAATGTCCCGGATTCACTTATCACAATTATAAATTCGGCACCAGAATAACACGTCACGATAGAGTCAAAATACGCCTTGTTGACACGCAAATTAATCTAACTAGGCAACCCAAACACAAAAGGCACTAACGCGACGATTCAATTATAACGATCTTCATCTAGATCTACGACGGGCCGCGAATTTACGTAAGAGGCCTGACGGCCCTCGTGGCCGGCAGGGCACCGACCCCTCGAACACGCATCGAGGGACAGACTGCCACGCAGCCGCCCTACCTCGGCGTTTTTCTCACCTACATACCAAATCAGGTGAGGCGATAGCTCGAACGCCATTGGAGGGCGTACAAATTATCTTTTTTGCCTAAACATAGTGGTGATATAGAAGATTCAATTGGTAGTAGTGGCATTAGCAGTGACAATGACAATGTACAGTGTGACAATGACAATATACAGTCTAATGACACTACTAAAAATAGGAAGTCAGTAACTTTTGAAAATGTAAATACTGACATAAGGCAAACAAGGTCTGGAAGACAGGTAAAACAACCAAGTTGGCTAAAGGGTCATGTCTTATATTAAGTTAGATTATAAGTTAAATAAAACTTCAATTTGGATACTTTAATTGTAAGTTTATTTGGGTATAGAAAGGGAGATATCATAGGGATATAATTTACTTGTATAAGCTGTGGATGACATGTACGGAAAACTTCACTTCAGATGAAAAGATGGCGTGTCAATACTTATGTGTTTCAATACAATTATCTTAATAACCTTTTAATAACTAATTAAATACAGTTATTACAAGTTTTGACCTTACGAGGTGCCAGGATGTCGTCTCAGAATAAAATACGGGTTGCATTAAATGAGTATTAATTGGGTAATCTATATTTTGAAAAGATGTCTCTTTTAGTTGAGACGTAATTGATTTATTTATTGTTTTATTAAAATGAAAATGGGAATACACGAAAGTAAATAATTTTTGCCCAACTTTTTTCACTATTAGTGACTTTACATCATTCAAAAGTCTTTATATTACATAGCTTCATATTGACTTGAAATGTTCTGTACCTTGCATCTTTCCCTGAAACACAAGCATTTAATTGTTGTATTAATAGTACTGTACTTATGGCGAACTATCGCTATCTCTTACTGATATACGCTGAGGTCTTGTATATCTCTATTTCTCTGTTTACGGTCATTTTATCGCCAATCTAATGTATAATATCTATGGTCTCAGAAAATAATCTGGTAACACTAAACTGATTTCAATTTTCAAGCCAGTGTTGCCACCTTGGTGATTTTGGCACTAGATCTGGTGATTTTTCAGAGCTCTTAGCGATATTTTTTCATCGTTTAGCGACTATTTATTTTTTAGCGATTTTTGGCGATTTTTCAATTTAGAAATTGGTAACACTAATTTGAGACGGAAATCGTTCTCTCTCTGGACCTAGTCTATGGTTGGGGAATCCCAGTTAGTTATTGACGTTAATGTTTTATCATTCTTTACGGCGGCTCTACACGTTGGCCAACATACTGGCGAATGTGTTAGCCAACCACAATGGCCATCGTGTAGAGCGGGTGTTTAAGCTACGTTGATATGTATTGGAACGATGGTCCACAAGTTGGCGCGCGATCCACGTGGTGTCGGTTTTTTGCAAAAGATCAAAGGGTAGCGGCAGAGTATTGGCCGTCGCGTCCACACGTTGGGCGCACGTTCAGTTTGCTACGAGCTCCCAGAGTGATCATACGCACCTGATTTAAATTTTATATGCACGCATCGTAACTAGTGTCTACGTAATGGCAGTAACAATGACCAATGGAAAAACTTTTCGCTTTATAGAGCCCCACCAAACCGAAAATTGTTTGTGAAACACAAGTCTTTCAAGTCTTTTTTTATAGAATAAGTGTGACAAACGAGCACGCAGTCCACCTGATGGTAAGTAGTTTCTGTGGCCCATAGACATCTACATCTATCTTCGTTTGCGAATTAAAATGCAGATGCGTTGTCAGCCGTGAGGACTAAGATAGAATGCCTCTTTTTCCAGTAAAATGGGTTTCCGGTTTCCTACACTCACCATACGAAACAAAGCAGCATTAAGCTGCTATTTTACGCTGGTCTTCTGTGAGAGCGTGGTCTTTCTCCTGTCGAGCCGACCCATTCGTGCTACAACTATACAATTAATATAGCTGCAGCATGGCTCTACCACGTATGAAATCTTCTTTTAAAAAAACGTTACTCCCACACTAGGATTTTCTCCTGTATCGTAGAGGCAGTTTATAAACATAAATTGCACAAGGACAAACATCCAGACCCGGAGCAATTATTTGCAGGCCATTTAAATACTTTTTCCGTGCGGGATTCGAACCCGCGGCCCTCAGCGCAGCAACTCATTGCTAAGGCACTATGCCACGGAGCCGTCAAGAAATAAAATTTCTTTTTTTCCATTTCTTTTTGATCACCCTTTTCTTATACACATTCACGTTATAGTGATATGCTGTTAATAAATAAACCGCAGCAGCCGTTAGCGCATCAATAATCATTTTAATAAATTCGTCCGCACATTGGCCTGAACCAAAGCAAACTGAACGACCTTCCAACGTGTGGACGTGATCACAAATTCTTGGCCAATAACTCTGCCATCACATTCGCCACTATATTGGCCAACGTGAAGAGCCGCCATTAAAGTGTCGTCGTAGTCGATTAAAGTGGGTAAGAAATTGCACGTGCTTAGTGTAAGAACAGTAAAGAAATTAATTAAAAGTGTGCATCGTAATGTACGTCCGCACAGTGGTCCCGTTTTGGTGTTTCATACAAATAGGATTTTCGAAAAATCAAAGTATCTGTTTTCCTAATTTTATTTTAGATTCTTATTTGGAAGCCTCTTTCAATATCAAATGTTTATCGGTGTACCGATGGAGTAACAAAACGTACAAAAATTAAAGATTTATTTTTTCAATGTATGGAAAAAAATATTCAAACCCGGTTTGATCCAATATATGAAAAAAAAAGCGTCGGTGAAAAATCCTACTAGCATGAAACGGCAAAACGAGACGACTGTGCATCGTGGGAGTAAGAATAGTGAAGTTAAGAATATTAAGGAACATTAATTATAAGGAACTGGAAGAAGAAGAAGAAGAAGGAAGTATGGAACTGCAGGCCAAGAAAAAAAATTATACGCAAAAGTATGGAAAAGAGTGGAAGGAGCATGATGTATTCAATTTTTTGAATTTTGGCCTAAAGGTCTAGATGCCAGGCCATAAACTCCAAAAAAAAATCTAGTGACAAGAAAATTTTTGAGGTGGCAACTCTGTTTTCAATTAAACTTTTTTTTTTTGGAGTTTTGGCCGGAAATTGACCGGCGGCGGTTTGCTGCTCCTGCTCCTGTATTATTGTTTAAATAATGGTTTGAAGTGGACTTTGATATGTAAAAGTGTTGCGATTTTGTGTATTAAGTGTCTACGCATGTGAACTATTAGTGGAAACAGTGAAACAAGTGCTCTGATGGTGATGGATTCTCAAGATAAGCTGTTTGTTTGCATAGGCACCTTTAGATACCATCGCCAACTATCAGCTGTCTGCTGGATCAAGTTGCCGCCAAAATCTCCCAAGAACTGCACAATGTGACGCATCAACATATTGTGAAGCAGTATACTATGAAGGAGTGGGAAAATTACAATAAACCGAATAAAAATACTTAAGACTTGGCCTAAAGGTCTAGATACCAGGCCATAAACTCCAAAAAAAAAACTTTTTTTTTAACTTTTTTTTTTGGCGGGAACTTCAAACGAGGCGGTCGATTTAATTTTTATATTTATCGTTAAAATATCCTGTTCGGTGTAAATAATTGTACATTTTGTTAATTGTTAAAATGAATGAACCGGAGGATCCAGGTGGAACCCCGAAACGATCCAAAATTGTTCGTAAAAGAGGTACGAAGGAAAGTGGACCTGAAGTAGGCGGCGGTGAGGATGACTTTATTCCGTTTTTTAAGCCAGGTTATCTGAGACTTTATCCTGAACACAGGTTAAACTTGGAAATAAAAGCCCAGTTTACTTAAATCATATTTTTACTTCGGAGGTGAAAGGTGTGGTAGCTTTACATAGAGTCAATGCCAACAAAATTGCGGTTGTTTTTAAACAATACAACACTGCAAATAATTTCATCACAAATACAGACTTTTTAACAAAGCACAACTTGAAGGCGCATATTCCTGCAGCGCAGATAGAAAAAACTGGAATCATCCGATATGTGCCTACCAACATTTCGAACAAGGAATTATATACGAAACTGTCTTCGATTTATGAAATTATTTCAGTGAGAAGATTCACGAAAAAAGTCGGTCAAAGTACTGTAGGTCTCGCGACGGTCAGTATAACTTTCCTATCAAATGTTCTGCCCGACAACATCCAATATGACCTATTTTCGTTCAGGGTGTTTGAATATATCCCACCGTTACAACAATGCTTCCGGTGCTTCAAGTTCAACCACCCTGCGAAAATTTGTAATGGTAAACAACGTTGCTCGATATGTGCTGGGGAACATAATTTCAGAGACTGTGATAAAAAAGAAAACCTGTGTTGTGTCAATTGCAGTGGTCCCCACCTGGCCATTTCCAAATCTTGCCCAATAAAAATGAAAAAAATACTTCAAAAAAAGGGTAAGATTACTTATGTCTCTGTAGCTAATACAATTATGTCATCTGATTTTCCGTCTTTACCTGCACAGTCGAGCAGCAATGTTAAGACCCTACCATCAATAAACCAAAATGTACATAAATTAAATAAAAATGTAAAAATTGTAAATAATGTAAATAAAACAGTGCCTGAACCCAACTTGAACCAAACTCAACTTAAGGCTCAAATTGCAAACAATAAGAATATTTTGATGGCAATGGTCCAAACTTTAGTCGAATTAGGTAATAAAACAGATAATGAACCTGTGACTACACTGTTCATTAAAGACTTACTTTTAAAAAATCTGTCACAATAATGGACAGTACAGTACAGAACATACAGCAGTTATGTATAGCTCAGTACAATATTCAAAGTATACATAGGAAAAAATCCTTATTGTCTAAATTTTTAGATGAGCAAAATGTTGATATATGTCTACTCAATGAAACTTGGCTGAAAGATACTCAGCATTTTAACATTTCGGGATATAATTTCCACTATCATAATGCCCAAAATGAGCATGGTGGAGTAGCAATTTTGATCAAACCGTATTTTAAATATAATATTATTCAAACCAGATTTTACCAAGACATTCAGACTGTGGCATTATTGTTATATGTAAGTGGTAAACAATTAACTATTTTATGTGTATACTGCCCTCCATCGAATGGTAACTTCAGAATAAGTAAACTGCGTGATATAATTAGAGATTTGCCTAAGCCAATATATGTGGCTGGAGATTTCAACGCTCACCATGTGGCATTTGGGTGTATGACCACGAAAAGTCGGGGTCATCAGTTATACGATTTAATTGATGAATTTGATCAATGTGTCCTCAACAATGGTAGCTTCACTACTATTAATTATCCTAACCGAAATCCATCGGCTATTGATGTCAGCTTTTG